CGTGTGCAATATTACATAAAAATCACGGATACTCGTTTAAATTTTTTTTTTTACCGACAAGTTAAAATTTATATATTTATTTACCAATATAGAGTTTAAAAAGTTATGAAAATTAATTGATATATTGATTGAAATGTATATTGGAAAATATGTAGGTTTTTTTTTTTTTTTTTTTTAATGAATATTTCAATCTATTTTTATAAAATAAATAAATATATATTTTGGTATTGGCTGAAACATGTTAAATTGATTAGAAATAAACGTTAAATACGATATGGAAGATTGACTGTATTGATACATAAATAGATCATTTAGCTCAATTTTTTTCTCCAATAAAGCAGATTTAATGAATACGTTCAACTAACCATTATTGACACCAGTAAGTAGTTCTAACCGATCCATGAAGGATTATACGTTTAAGTTACTTATACGAATGCTAAACTGTCATACCAAAGTATTATGACGTAAGAAACCATTTAAAGCATTTTTATTAATTCAATCATGTAAATTGGCTTAAATTTTTCAAAAATTCTACAAAAGTTCTTACAAGAATAGTATGTTATGAATATTGTAGATCGTAGCTGCTTCTTCAACGTAAGCTGTCAAAATGTGCAAAAAATTAATAAAAAATTGCTCGACTGTTTCGAGCTAATTTTGAAAAAATAATCGAAATTAAAGCAGCATCGACGAAATTGATTCCATTGAAAAGTGTCGTGTTAAATTTAAATAATACTTAAAAGCATGAATAATTTTAATGGGGAATTTTAAATTAGAATATAATCAAATATGATTATTAAGTAGACGTAAACAATATCGTTATTTTTTAATATATCGGCTGATAATTACCTCGTAGCACTCAATGACTCTATTCTTAAAAATTCTCTAAAGTTATTGTTGAAAGCTTGAGAACGGTGCATCGCGAGCAATTGAAAAAGTATGTGAATTCGAGAGCTCAACGTCATCGTAAGGAGAACAAGACAGAGAGGGAGAGAGAGAGAGAGAGAGAGAGAGAGAGAGAGAGAGAGAGAGAGAGAGAGGGTGAGTGGGGTGGGGGGGGGGTACTGTGTTGGTGGGAGGGAAGGAGTGATTCTTGTGTATTTGCCATTGAAATCGGTGTGCGTGGACGTTCAAGCTTCACTCGGTGTCGTGCAACCATTTATGGTGAGATTTCGATCAGTGCAGGTGGTCCAGGTGGGACCCTTCTCCCTCCATCACTGGTTCGCCTGATATTTCGATGACCGCGAGGGAGAAACTTCGGAGTGCTTGCCTCTGACCCGCTGACCGATTTTCCGCATGCCGAAAATGCTCCTTCTCTCTCTCTCTCTCTCTCTCTCTCTCTCTCTCTCTCTCTCTCTCTCGCGTGCTGCGTGGACTACAAGCCTTAATTATGGCAGATAGCGTAAATTTTCGATCATTGTCCATTGTTTTTGGTGAAACTCTACTAAAACGGGTGGTATGGCCATGGTTGTCAGAACGATCAACTTCAACGCGTCGAGTTGATCCGCTGCACTTGTTTCAAGCCCAGAAATACCGTTAAACTGATATTGACTTACCTCGAAAAACTTTAATACCCAAACTTTATGATACAAATTCAGATATTTATCCCCATCTTACGCAAGATTATTTATTGCTATCAATTATTTTCCCTATCGAGATACTTATGAGCGATGTCTCGCCGGCATAATGAGCCTTAATCTGTCACCGGAGACACGCATGGGCACACGCTTATGCATAAATAATATACGGCAGCCTGGTCAATTAAAAGTAGAATTATTTCAAATCGATTGTATGTCGAGTCACGTAATGATATTGACATGCCGAGGCGTCCAAGCTCCGGGTCATGGATTCTTAATAAAACTGTGGGAGGTATTTTCGATCATTTTTCAAGACTGCACGATGAAGCCTACCACCCGTAGTTGATTTTAATAGGCTCTTGTTTGCGAGGCAACGCCGCTATTTTGCCGATTTCCTTCAAGGAGCCGAATGCTTGACGTAGCATTTAGCCGTGGGCTTATCGGCCCTCGCATCGAAATAAATTTTCATTAAACAGTACAAAGTAACGCGGCGCACATTCCACCGTGCCGTTTCATAACTAAGCGTGAGAAAACGCGTGCGCCGACCAACTGCGCCCGTCAATCTTCTTTATAGCGCGTGCGCGGAACGTATCCCGGACTCAAATCGTTTTTTCGCGTACGCTTCTTGGGATACTCGTCATTAGATTAAGCCGCGCGCATCAAGAATATGTGTACCAAAGGGAATGGGCTCGCCGCTTACTTTGCTCGAATTGCCGGCACTGACAATGGCGGTAGTCGATTTTAATTGGATATTTCAACATGATGTCTGCCTAAGTAACAACGTGCATTCGAGCGGCTGAGGCCCTCGCCTCGGCATCATCTAAATTGTAATCCTAAGCGCTTCCGATTGAAAGGATATTTTCTCTCTCGCTCCTTTTTCATATCCTGATAATCCGAATTTTAGTTGATTGCGCGTGCGTGCTTGTGTGCGCGCGTGTGCGCTGCGTTGTTAGCCGGTGGTGCTTGATTCAGCGAGTGCGTGCATGTCGAGCAACTTTCGGAGATTGACGAAGTTGGCGGTGATATAAGAGAGTTCGAAGGCCTCCGCTTTTGAGCGCCGTGCCCTGTGCCGCTTTACATTGTCGTCCCGCGAACGCAAATTTATTTACATTTATATTCTTTGCACGTATTTTTCTCACAGTGACATTTTCGAAAAGGGCACACTGATATCCTATATTAGATTTTAGTTTATCGCACGTGTTTACCATGCAAAAGGCTACGTATTTTGTAATTCGCTCTTTCGTATTTCGTAAGAATAAATATATTTATCTAGCCAAATAGAATTACGAAATTCTACCGAAAATTGTCTGCTTTCGTTCTCAAGGCATTGCCATGTGTTTCTTGTTTTTTTTTTCTCGAGATAATTGCATATTTTGTAAATTCAAGTTCATACGATGTTGCATGAACACACAAGATGATTTTTATTTAAAAATTAAAGTTAATATAGTCGACCTCAGCCAAGTACGCCGACAAAAGAACCTCTTTTCTTTTCGCAGAGATTTACATTGTTACGTGTAAATCGACCAATTCACAGAAAAATACTGAAAATACTTTTTAATATCTTTCGAAAGATACCTTAATGCGATCATAAAATTTTGCCTACTCAAAGTTTTTATATTTTGTCTTATTATTAGAGTTCGGTTGGGAAAATGTTTTTTCAATGCTCTTTCTTCGTCGTTTTTCAGAAAATCGAACATAAGAAAAGAAAAGAAAGAAAAATGACGAAGAAGAAGAAGAAGAAGAGGAAGAAGAAGAAGAAGAAGAAGAAGAAGAAGAAGAAGGAGGAGGAAAAAAATGAAGAAAAGGAAGGGAAAATACACAGTCGTTATGCTAATATTTACTTAAAATTACGATAATGTATTTCACGTTGACACAATTATATAATATAAAATATATTTATGCGTTGGTCAAATAAAATTAAAATATAATAAATATAATAAGCTTGTGACGCTTATAGGTTTGTGATTAGTAGCAGCATGAAGTACATTATCGTTAATCATCTTGAATACAATTAATTTCATCACTTTGCTCACATTTTTTGGTACAATTTTTTTTTTTTTTTTTTTTTGAATGTCTATCTTCAGTATCCTAACTTTAGGACTAAAGTTTTAACGACTTATTTTCCGCGCTTGAATTGAAAATTTCGTTTACTATTAAATCGTGCACGATATCAAGATTTATCTTTTCGTGTCTCGATGACTTCAAAACCATATACGACAATATATAATTATTAAATAAATTTTTATCACATCAATGCTTAAATGCATTGTGATATTTAAAAGATATTATATACGAGAGGAATAAGAGTGTGCCGAAGAAATTAACAAATGTGCATTTTCGACGTGGTGACGTTATATAAAATATGTAAATAAGCAGTATTCAAATTAAATTTCTTATAATATATTTTTTCGCTTCAAGGAGATACAATGAAAGGTGCATAATTTGTACGTTAAAAGCTTGGATCAGCAAAATAAGTTTCCAATATCTTCGTATAAATAGCACGAATTATTAGCATTGTTATTAATAAAAGGGTCATTAAGGATGAGCGTTTATTTAGATGTGAGGCGGAATTTTCAAATACGAATTAGCGAATGATTGAAATGTCCTTTGCAAACAGATTAAATTTGTAAGGTCGGCTCGGTCCTTGAAACCAACAAGCAGAATGCGTCAATTTCAAAGTAGCGAGCGGACAGCTGTAACTTAAGCTCGATAATATCAAAATTGGAGTTATCGAACGCCTGTGGAATGTATTTATATTCACACGCGGGTCTTACCCTGCCCATCTCCCTCTACTTTTTGCAACACAATGGAAGCAAAAAAAAGAGTACGCGTAAATCCCATTGAAGCATATTATCCTCGGCATTTCTCGCCTCGCCCAAGCCCGGCCATTAATTTCAAATAAGCCCGAGTCCGAGAGCCCGAGCCCGAGCCCTTGCCGTGCTTAGATAAATAAAGCCTTCGTGAAATAAGACGTGAAATAATCCTTTAGAGTGCCATTAGCGGCGGCCCTTATAAATGTGAGTGCGCTCGTCAGGCCACGGGCTTTCATCAATGAAAGGAGAGGATCCGCGCGCTCGCTCGGAGCCCCGAGCTCTTAAAAGTCGCGTGCTCCTCGGCTCCGCGGCCGAGTGGCGTCGCAGCCCACATTCCCTCTTGGACTCCAGCTTTACGTAATCGGGCCTCCCGCGCGTCCAGGACTCTCCCGGACGCCGCGACGAGGGACGGCGATCCACGCGCGCACCAACGCGCTCGCGCACTCGGGCGCCTCCTTCTCGCTCTCCCTCGCCATTCAAGATTCCGTGGCCGTCGCTCGGGCCGCGCGATCCCCACCGCGTTTCAGTCCCCCTCCCGCCCGAACGCGACCACCGCCATCTCGGCGGTCCCACGGCCGACGGATCTCGCGCCGTTCGCCAGAGTAACCGCGGCTCCCGGACCAGCAGCCAGAAGCCGAGGGCGAGCCGCGAGGCCCAGCGCGAGTAAGTCTCGCTCGTTAAGGACCTCTCCCTCTCTCCCACTCACTCCCGCTCGTTCCATCGCGCGCGAACGCACTCGCGCTCGCTCTCTCGCTCGCGCACCCACACCCACTCCCACGCAAAACGCGCGCGCGCTCAAATAATCAGAGAGTACAGGTACGCGCGCGCGCACGCAACGACGGTCACTCATTCGCTCGCTCTATCCCCGTCTCACTCGGGCGAATACGTGTATGCGCGCGCGCACACTCAAGGAAAAAGCCGCACTTCGTTACCTCGCTGCTTCTCCCCACTCCACTACACCGGACGACGAGGACGCACCCACGCCCGCGAGTGATATTACGTAAGAGTGCGGATGCGCGCCTTTTCTCGACGAAGAAAGTGCCTCGGTGCCGAAGCTCCTCGTACGCGCGCCGTCTTTCATTGAGCAAACGGCCGCGCGACACCTCTCCCCCTCAATCGAGTGCCTCGCTAACGACTCCCTTGAATCGCTAGCCCGGAACGCAACCCTCGAGCCGCGTATTAATAGCAGCCCCGCTGAGCCTTTCGAGCCCTTGGCTGAAGCAGTCGAGTGCCACTGACTTCCCTCTATCATCGCCGGACGAAGGGAGGACTCGCGTTGACGCGACCGCGTGACTCTCGCTTGTGTGCGTCATCGTTCCGATTCCCGCATCCCGGTTGTGCCTCGGAACCGCGACCTTAGACGACCCTGCCGATGGGAGTGACGTCGCCGTCGTTTAAAATTGTGATTGCGCCGCGCTTTTTCCACTCCTTCTCTATACGCCTTATTATTATTATTATTATTATTATTATTATTATTATTATTGCGCCAAGTGAAACTGTTCGGTTGGGATCGCTCCGCATTTGCATCGTTTGCCTAAAACGCATCGTCGATTCACACTCGCTTTATTAAAAGGCTACACGTGCAATTTGATTATCATACACACGTGCATAAAATAATCTTTACGAGTTTTTAAATGGCGTCATTACGTATGCGTGCGTAGGATGCTTTGCAAATAGATATTGAAAACAGTTAACGCTGCTTTAAATTATTAGAAATATTGAATAAGTGCCTGTCCGTGTAGAGAAGGACGTTTCCTGCAAAGTCAAGAAAAGAAAACCACTTGGTAAGAATTAAATCATATTTTACATAAACATACTCGCTCTCGCGCAAACACACATAGTCATATACATACTCTGCATGTGCACACACGAGCATTTAAACAAACAAATGAACCAACCAACCAGCCAACCAACGAATGTATGTACATTGATATTTAAAAGCAGTTTACATTTAATTGCATTCAACGACGTGTGGCACTTTATCCGATTACGTTAATAAATAAGCATTTAAGCGCGATGTGCAATTTATTTAATTTGTACGACATTTAACATACGCGTGGAATAAACGTCGGAGTTTCACTATGATTCTCCGAAAAGTGTTATGATTATTTAGCCAACTATATTATATTCGACTGCACTGCTACTCGGTGTTTAGAAAGCGCAATAAATAAATGTTTGTACACGCACCTGTTATTTTGATAAGCATCGCGATCATTGAGCAATAAGTTTGCCCACCCGCGCGCCACGTTTTTCCTTCGCGTTTTGCCGCGTTGAAGCTGTAACGTCGATGCGAATACATCGGCTATCCGATGACTTTATTGTGAGAACCCGTTGCTCCTTTTTATCAGCCTCGGTATCGTTGGCAAACATTTCGAAAACCGCCTCTTTTCATGTGAAAATCCAATCGGAATAATCAGCGTGTTTATTTTTAAAACAATGGCTATATTCCGAAGGCTTCGTGTCGAGTTGTAAATACGTAACGTAATGGTGCTTTCAACGGCTATGTTATGTATCATAATAAGGGTCCGTAATTTTTAAAAGTCTTATTTAATCATGACCATGAAATTCGTCAGGCGTTTCGTACGTAATCTTTGGGGTGGGATGGGGCAGGGGGGGTGGGGTTGGAAGAACGAAGGAAAAGAAAAAGAAGAAGGAAAAAAAGAATAATGAAAAAAATAAGGAATAAAGAGAGAGAGAGAGAGAGTGAGTGGGGGGGGCAGGCGGCGAACGCCTCTAATATAATCGCTTGCTTTATATTTCATGCGAATAATTACAATGTAACCAGTTCATCATTCGCGCTCATGCATATTTTCTTCAAGATGACGAGCACTTTATTAATGCAATTCTGCAATTGTTGTATTCTGGGGAGTTGAATAAAAAGAAACAGTTAGGCCACGATTATTCTTTAAAAGGCTCTTAAAAATTCGTATTTGCTCTGCAGGTCGGTGGATTCCCCCTTACACCAAGACCAACAGATTTACGTTCTAAGATTTGCTTTTATATTCTATTCTTCCAGCACCTAAATTATCTTATATTCATCTCCTACAATTGGGCCTGTTTGATGGGACCCGAGCTAATTGCCAGTTTTCCCGCGACAAGTGCGCACCCCCATTCGAATCACTCTTTAATGGTAAAATGATTGCGTGTGTCGTACGATATAATGGATTATTAAAGGAAGTTTTAGCGTAAAGAAGAGATAATGCTGCGGCATGCGAGTCAATTGGAATAAATGATAGGCTAAATAACGAGATGGCATTAAGATTTCATAATTTTCGTTCTAAATGAATCATCGTTTGATTGATTCCCATTGACGAAGGTCTATAGTCCATCGATGATTTCTATTACTCACGCACACGCGCACGCACACGCACAAAAGCTAATACGTCAGTTAGGAGTTGCCTTGTAATACAATCTTAATTCGAATCTTAATTGTAAAAGCAATGTTTCAAAGCACTTCTCATAATTATTCTCTAATCGAGGCTCTGATTTATTTGTTTCGAAAAAAGGAAGAAAAAAAAAATAAAGAAAAAGTAAGAGAAAGAGAAAGAGAAAAAGAAAAGAAACGCCTAACAAGCAAAAAATACACGAAAATGGGAAATGAGCGAGGAATAAAAGTCTCGCGGAAAGAATCCTTTTATTATCTGTATGAGATCGAATAGACAACTCGTTGTTTTCTGATGATGTATGATGTAGGATGCGATGGGTGTTTGGATTTGGCTAGGAGTTCGCGTCGAAATAGCGCAGAGAGAAAACGCGGGAGAAAGTTCCCGGAATAATGATACGAATCGAATTGCAATTTTCTCGGGATTTTGAAAAGTGGCGAGGAGGTGGCTTGGTGAGAGGAGGGAAATAATATGGAGTGGTATGGAGTGGAATAATTAGCTTGTCGATGAGGACTCTGGAGGGGACGGAAGAAAATCCCGAGCCGCCCAACTTTATTTACCAACGAGCATCAATTTATTATCGTGAAATCGTGAAAATCCGGACCCATGATTTCGAGAGAACAACAGCAACGACAACGACAACGACAAACAACAAAACAACGAAGAAGAAAAACAAAGACACCAGCAACAAAAGTACGGGAAAATACGGAGATGATTAAAAAGAGAAGGGGAAAGAAAATTCCTCGCTCGCCCGTACCCGGCAAATGATAAATAGTTAAACAAACTAGTTGGCAAACATTCAAGGTCGTCGCGACAACCAACGCGCCATTATTTTGCATCGCCGTCGGAGATTTATCGCGTAGCTTATTTTAAGAACTGCGTAACGAGTTTTTTCCTCCGCTGCGAAAAGAGCAGGGAAGCATAAGGCTTTCGAAGCGGAGTAACGCCGAATCGGCTGCATTTTGCAAAGCGCTCGCTCACCACAGCCGCTCAAATCGAATGAAATCAGCAGCGGGCAGTTTAATCACAAGGCTGAATTCGTTCGCCTGTGGTGTCTGGCGAATGATGGAGGGGCGGGAGGGAGGGAGGGATCCGGGGGCGTACGGGGAGCAGAGAAGGAGAACGAAACGAAAGAAAATGAAATAACGAAAAAACATGAAAAGAGAGGGGAAAAAAGGGCGAAAAAAAAAGGACAACAAGAAGAAAAATGGAGGAAAAAGAAGAAAATAGATTAAATTGAAAGTACGTCCTCTTCGGAGTGCCGTAAATTCAAACAGACGTCCTTGAGAGTGCGACTTTGGAGCACCAAAGTGCACCAGTGCTACGAGGAATATATAAGTCCTCGGGTCCTTCTCGCCCGCGGCGGATTAAGCGCAAGCTCGCGCATCCTGCCGGAACAGGTGCTCCTCGCGATCGGCGTCCTTGGGGAGATCACGTGGTGCGCCGTTGTGGCTACCCGACCACCCACGATGTGCTCGCCCTGAATGGACCGCTCACCGGGGTGCGCTGCTACCGGGGAGTCGGCGTGTTCCGCTTGGTCCGTCTCGTAAAATCAGCCGTTGCGAGATCGTAACGGTTGGCGGGGCATGGAAAGGGGCAGAGGAGAGACGGGTTTGGAAACAGAGAGTGAGAGAGAGAAAGAGATGAGAGAGAGAGAGATAGAGAGAGAGAGAGAGAGAGAGAGGCGGACACAGACAGTGCCTATACACGTCCTTTATATAAAACGGATAAATGCCTGTCACTTTAACGTAGGCCTTGTGACGGACGTAAGCGATGTTAATCGTTTACGCTGATGCTTTTTATCGCTCCGATAAAATGTCGTGTCGGTTGTAAAAGTATGCGTATGCTATATTGGAGTGCTTCGATCCGTCCGGCGGGAACTGCACGGCCTCTTAATTGCATACATGTTTTAGAATGTTTGGGACGTTAGTTTTATACTCCTCTGGTATTTTGTTATTTGCTGAATAAATAATGATAACGATAAAGGTTTCGTTTTAAATTCAAGTTCATATATCAGAGGCATTGGTTTTATCGCCGCGGCCCGTCTCATTCATAAACACAAAAGAATCTCTATACTTGACGTACAAATACAAATACATGGCAGCGCGCATTAAAAAATGCAGCGATGAGTTTAAATGAGCTCGCCTACGGGCACCACTCATCTCCCAAGAATTAAGCGTTATTTTCGTCATTTAATAATTCAATTACATTCTTTAACGACGGGGACAAAACAAAAAACATAACGCAAAAACAATGAAAAACAAAAAAAAAAAAACAAAA